CGGGCCCGGTGCGGGGGCAGTGCGGGTTTCCCGGGTGCCAGGACGGCGTCCCTGGGCCCGGTGCAGGGGTTGAAGGCTCTGCTCTCTCCCCAGCTCCAAGCCCAGCTGGGCCGACCAGGTGGAAGAGGAGGGAGGAGAGGACGGTGAGTGACTCCTTGCTCCCCGATCTTGCTCCTCCTGCTGGAAACCGGGGAGTTGTTCTGGAGTGAAACCGCAGCTGCTGCTCCTAAACCAGCCCAGGGCTGCACCACATCCTTGGCCGGGGCTCAGAAGAGGCTCCCAGGTTCTTTTCCCACTGCAAGCAGTGCCTGCCCGACCTGGGACAAGGGCTCAGGAGCCCCCTTCCCCACCCCTTTTCCACCCATTTCAGGGCTGAGCAAGCCCCAGGAGCTTGGAGCAACAGGGATTTCACAGAATCCCAGACCGTTAGGGATTGGGAGGGACCTCCAAAGCTCATCCAGTCCAATCCCCCTGCCGGAGCAGGAACACCCAGATGAGGTTACACAGGAAGGCGTCCAGGCGGGGTTTGAATGTCTGCAGAGAAGGAGACTCCACAACCTCTCTGGGCAGCCTGGGCCAGGGCTCTGTCACCCTCACTGAGAAGAAGTTTCTTCTCCAATTTCAGTGGAACCTCCTGTGTTCCAGTTTGTGTCCGTTACCCCTTGTCCTATCATTGTTTGTCACCGAGAAGAGCCTGGCTCCATCCTCGTGACACTCACCCTTGAAATATTGATAACCATGAATGAGGTCTCCCCTCAGTCTCCTCTTCTGCAAACTAAAGAGCCCCAGCTCCCTCAGCCGCTCCTCAGAAGGGAGATGCTCCACTCCCTCCATCATCTTTGTAGCCCTACGCTGGACTCTCTCCAGCAGTTCCTGTCCTTCTTGACCTGAGGGGCCCAGAACTGGACACAATATTCCAGATGCGGTCTCACCAGGGCAGAGTAGAGGGGGAGGAGAACCTCTCTGCCCTACAACCACCCCCCTCCTGATACACCCCAGGATGCCATTGGCCTTCTTGGCCACAAGGGCACAGTGCTGGCTCATGGTCATCCTGCTGGCCACCAGGCCCCCCAGGTCCCTTTCCCCTACGCTGCTCTCTAAATTTGGATTTCTTGGCTCTTTGGCTTGAAGAGGGGATGAGGGGGTGACTCTGCCCCCTTCTTTTTCCCTCGCAGACAAATGCATCACCAGCGAGCTGCTGAAGGACATCCCCCTGCCCGGGGTGCTGGGGGGCAGCCTGAGCGCTGAGGCCGAGCTGCTGAAGGGAGGTGAGAGCCCCCGGGGGGTGGTTTTTGGCTCCCCGGTGTCACAAAGCATCCCACCCCGTGTCACACGGTGTCCCCTTGTCCCTCTCTTCCCTCCCCCCAGGGCCGCTCCCCTCCCCAAAGGAGCTCATCAACGGCAACATCAAAACCATCACCGAGTACCGCGAGGAGGAGGACGGGCGCAAGGTGAAGGTGAGCGGGGCAGCCCGGCCCGGGGGTTTTGGCTTCTGCCCTCCCAGAGCCCTGGGTTGTTATGGGGCATCTGGGGGGTATTTATGGGTTAGGGGGCATCTGTGGGGTATCTGTGGGTCTTTGGGTTGTTATGGGGCATCTGTGGGGTATGGGGTATTTGTGGGGTATTTATGGGTTGTTATGGGGCATCTGTGGGTTATGGAGCATCTGGGGGGTATCTGTGGGTTATTATGGGGCATTTGGGGGGTATCTGTGGGTTGTTATGGGGCATCTGGGGGGTATCCATGGGTTGTTATGGGGCATTTGGGGGGTATCTGTGGGTTGTTATGGGGCATCTGGGGGGTATGGGGGATCTGTGGGGGGTCTATGGGG